TATTGATTTCCGTATTGCATAGACTCATTGATCATTGACTGTTATTGATTTGATTGACTGACATGCATATTGATAGCAGTACCGTGCTTTGATTTCAGTTGTAGGCTTTGGTGACCTGCTGGGCTTTTTGAAGCTCATTATATGTGGTTAATATTTTCAGGTCTGAGCAAGGCAACTGGAATGGAGTTCAATCAGAATGTCAGACGAATCCTTTCACTATGGATGCCTGGGGCGTCACAGTCTGGTTGAAGTCCGACAGGGCCGGGTGGAATTCCGGTGGTGGTTGACAGCCGAGTGGTGGTCTGACGACGGTAGGCGGCTAGGTGAAGGTTCACTAGCAATGGAGCTTAAGCTCTTGAAGCCTTAGAGCTCTCTCCAATATCTAGGTAAAGGTCTCATTCATGTAGAGAGTGAGAGTCTATTTATAAATTTTCATGAGTGATACACCCATTAATTTAGAGAAGATCTAGGGCAGGTTTGGAGTTCTCAATTGGATGACCCGTATTGATTCCCTCGATCATAGAGTGTTTTTCAACTTTTTAAGTGTCTTAACGATGTCAAGATTCGATGATCTTGGGCTCGTTGGATTCATCTCGTCGAGCCACTCGATTTGACTATAAGCATGCATATTTGTATATTATTTATCATTCAATTAATGCTTTGAATCTTCTAAATAAGCTTCGAGTCTTTGATTTGAACCTATTCAGACTCGGATTGAGTTGAATTTAGTGTCGCTGGGTTCGTTTTTTTGAGACGTTCTGCTCGACTATAAGTTTGCTGAAATCGAAGTTCATATTATAATGAATTTGATTTTAGAAGTTTTCAACTTGAATATTCCTCAAGATTAGTGCGCGATCAAGTTGATTTTTGGTGAGGTATCAAGAAGCAATAAAAAAATAGTCCCAAATAAAATAGTAGTTTGCGAGTTTAAAGACAATAGCTAGCTGTAATTTTCATGTTGAATAATATTTTAGGTGAGCACTATTCCTTTTAAAAATCCCACCTTTGAAAATTATTTGATAAGATAATTATTAAATAGTGTGAAATACATATATATAGTAAAATTTAAATTATTATAAAATTATGCATTTGCAATAATTAATTTTTTTAAACATATATTAAAATTTAAATCCATATAGGGTAATTCTGAGCAACCCCGCAAGCAAAAAAGGCCTTAGCAGCATTAGGAAAAGCGGTTTCCATAGAAAGAGGCGTCTCTGCGTTCTGCCGAAATTTTCGGCTTCCATCGTTATATAGATTTTGAGGGTTTGCTCTTTTATGATATCTACGTCGGCCTTCAAACCCTAGTTCTCTCACCGCCTGATCGTGGTTTTCCCTTCTGTGAGTGCTCAGAGGTCGACTTCTTGGTTTTTGGAAGACGCCAATTTGCTTAGGTTAGTATTCTATTGCTATATTACTCTTGCAGCGTGATTCTGATTCGGTGGTTTTCGATTCTGTCATCCATCTCTATATTCAGGGTGAAAGTTTTTAACCTAATTTTGTTTGGAATTTCCTTCCTGGGGTTATATCGATCCTTTGTTGACGGTGATTTGTGTTTTGTTGAGGTTATCTGTTTAAATGACTAGTTTTGTTTGTTTTCATCGGTGTCTTATCCTTATTGAGGGAATGCTGAATTTTTGCTTTTGCCGGGGCTTTATGTTGGAAAGATGTTTCTTCATGATCCATGCTGATTTAATTTTGAGCCTCGTTGATTCCGCGATGTAGATTTCCGGCGCTGATCATTCAAATGTTACCTCTTAATGCTGTAAATTTATTTTTTTGACTGTTAATTTCAATCTGCAAATGTTGACATGCCATTCTGAATCTGTTTGAGATTTTTTTTTTGTTTCTTGCACCGTATGAATATATTTACATAGCGTCAAATAGTTATGCGTAATGACAGTTAATTATTCATGTTTATGTTGGGTTTTTCCTGATATTTTGTTCATGTCTATTCTGTTTTTGATGAAGTCCCTTTTCATGTGAATAATCTCTTTGGATTCTCTTTGAAGGGAACTATATCCATCTTATCATTTAAGGTTTTATTTTGTCTTTTTCGGTTCTATGCTTTATAAGCTAACTGCTACTTTTTTCTTAGATATGTCGAGGGATGGTCTAATTAAGAGCCGAAGCTCTAGTGTGAGAGGCAGAGGTCAAATCCAAGCCATGGGTCAAAGAGGACAAGTTGGCAGGTTTTTTGGAAGCAGGGCTGCAATGCTTAATAAAGGGCCTCTTAGAGTTACAAATCGTCCATCTTCATATAAGATTGCCAAGGCAAGCCCAAAATTATTACTGTTTTACACGTATTAAAGAGTATAAGCAGTTTAAGAAACTCAAAATATGAAGGGTTGCGGGGATAAATAAGCTCTTGGTATGTTCGGGCTCATGTAGGAAGTTTTGAGTTTTCATGAATGTCAATTGTTTTGGATTATAAAGGGGGATATCAACGGGCCCATCTGGCTATATTTGGAATATCTATATCACTGGCCGCCTTATTTTGCTAATGTTTGTTGATGGAGTCTTTCTCCAAAGAGCTTACCTGTTCATATCTCAGAGGTGGAGACAATTGCCTGCAGGATGTTTGATGGGTGGAATTTTCTTCTCTCATATTCTATCATTATGGTTTATCTATAATTTGATAAATTTTCCCAACCATGGCCCTTCTTATCAATTCTAGTTGCAGTTTTACAGAGATATATTGATTGAATTGACTCATACTGATTTCTGATTAAGTTGTCAAATTTGCTGCATGCATTCCTGGGCTTATGGCAATACCTTCCTAAAAATGAGTGTTTGTTCCCATGCTTTCATCAGTCTTTTAGCAGAAAGAAGGATATATTATGGACAGATGCCCTATTTGAACATGGCATGGCTGCTACTGGGATCACCGGTGCTGAAAGTGGAACAAAATTGTACATATCAAACTTGGATTATGGTGTTTCCAATGGAGATATAAAGGTCTGCTGGGTTGCAATTGAAAAATACAGCCATTGCTGCCCTTTCTGTGAGGTTCATATCATAAAAAATTTGCACTTTTGTCTTATGATTTGTTCTGGTTGTTATTCAGGAACTTTTTTCTGAGGTTGGTGATCTAAAGAGGTGTACAGTTCATTATGATAGAAATGGCCATTCGAGTGTGAGTAATCTTTTCCCTATATCTGAGATGCAGATTATTGTGTTGCTTAATTGCGTTGTTTAACTATTAATGCAATTTATTGAAGGTTTTATTCTTCAATTCGTAGTGCTTACATTGATGATTACTCATGCCATACTTGAGAATCTTACAGAAAGGTGTAAATAATTGGCGTTCAAATTTTTATTTTATTTCAATATCATAAGGAGCTGACTCCTTAATTACAATTTTCATGAAATGCTAATCATATTTTAGTGATATGAAGGGTCTTTTGGCCTCTTTTGCATGATGATTTGGATTCTTGGGCCAATCCATAAATATGACTAATTTTGACCCTTCCATGCGTTGTTTAGAACCTGGTAGTTTTTCGAATAGGCCAGTTGTATAGGCGATGAGGAGGCTTTATTTGTGTTCATAGGCCTTGTTTGTATTCATAGGCCAGTTGTAAAATCCTCTATAAATCCCCTGCTTGCGTTCAACATTGCTTTAATTTTGTAATTTTGTTCATATCTTACAATTTTGTAATTTTAATTTTATCTTAAATTCCAAAATTTTGTTCATGTTCTACATTTGAGTTTGTGTTGGTCTGAATTTCATTAGCCTCTTGGCATTTTTCCTTTGTAAGGGCCTCTTCGGAGGGTGCTAGGTCTTTCCAACACACCTGGAAGAAATATCACGGTTGGAGGATCTTCTAACTCAGTGTGCTTAAAAAAGCATGTATATGCCTTCTACACCGTTTGATATGTGATTATGTGTTGTACAAATTTTATGAATAAAAATTAGACATTTTTTTTGGGATTGTTGATGATGTTGGATGCAATGAAGTAACCTTATAGTAGTTTCAGAGCTTCCTAGATAGGAGTTATTGAATTGGAGTTTGATTGTCGGCTGCTGGGAAAGCCATTTGCACACGTTTGTGATAGCTTAGAAATTGGATGGTTTCATGCGGCGCACATATTCCTGTAATATTTGAGAATATTTCAAAATTATGTTTAGCGTGAAATGGAATTATCAAATTTATTTGTTTTTCTTTTAGGTAATTACATCTGATGCGAGGCTATAAGTGATGATTATTGTTTTATAACATGGTTGATCTATAAGAAAAGAGAAAATGATTAAAATTTCCTCTCGACTCTTGAGAAAGATCAAAATAGTTTGCAACTATATTAAATGACCATTTTGATCCTTTAACTTCTTAAAGAGGAATCAAAATAGTCCCACCATTGAACTATTTTGATTCCTTTTAAAGACTTAAGGGGACCAAAATGATATTTTAATATAGTTGGAGATCATTTTGCTCATTTATAAAGTGTCAAAGAACTATTTTGATCCTTTTCTCTATAAGAAAAGATCGGTTGTCTTTAACTTGATGCTAATATAGTTGGCTTGTGTCAGTTCAGTAATTTGCTAGGATGTTTTGAATTAAATTTAACTATTGTTCGGTTATCACGGATTCCAACGCTAATCAACAAAATTATTTTGCTATAATTTAGTGGCCTTCTTTTATTTTTTTGTGATATAATTTAGTGACCCTGAATTATTCGATATTTTTGAATACGGTTAGGGTACACTTTGAGTCCCTTCTTAGATACTGATAAGCACGGGTGTTTTTTTATTTAATTTTACGTGCACGAAAACATAGAAATGTGCAGCTTGATTAAACTTTATTTTCCTTTTTATTTCATCATAAATGAATGTAATTAATTAAATAGTGAAACATTTTCATGGTTCTGCTTGTTGTTGTTTATCTTAATATGCCCACTGGGGCTAAGGACAGCTAACCCAAGATATCACCATTTAATGTTTCTGTTGAAAGCAATGGAGAAGTCCATAAGAAACTTCCTTGCATATCCCATAATAATATACCGTGGGCATGTTCTATTTTTGCCGACTGACCCACTCGAACTGTTGACCAATCTCTCCACACCTTATTTATTCTCTCAGTACGTCACTTTACCACTCCCTCATTCTCAGAGGATATGTTTTTTCAGCTGCCTGATCCTCTCACTCCCTCACCCTCATTTTCCCAAGCATCGAAATTGTACATATCAAAGGAAACTTAAGCTGCTTGTCGACAAACTATTTCATAAGATCTCCATGATATTATAACACCCAAGTTTCATACTATGATTATAATGTTTTTCATTTGATGTTGCAACATTGCTTGTATTAATGGTCTTGACAATGTAATGACAGGTCATTTAGTAGAATTTGATTGTGCTACGATAGCTATTACTTTGTATTTATAATCTAGTAACGGTGCTGTTGAATTAATGGGTGATAATTTGATAATTTAAGAGGGGAGTTCATTAAAAGCGAAGAAGAATTGCTTAGATCCCAATCAGCAAAAAGTTTTCTTCCCCAAGAAAGCAATTTCCTTTTATGCATGTTTTCTTCTTCTGTGCTTCATATTTTGCTCGTCCTTTTATTTTTGCAACCATGTGTTCTACTTAGAAAAACATATAGCGTTTTGAGAAGGAAATTTGAATGTAGGGACTGTTTAGGGATTTCCTTTTGATTTGTATGCATTAAATAGTAGATTTTCCTAGGGTTTGAGCATCTTGAATTTGGCTGAAATTTGAGATCTCGTAGATTTAGGATTTCTTTGGGCTCTAGCGGCGTCTAGAGATTTGGGAGAGATCGATCCTCCTCTCGAATTGAGGATCAATTGTATATTTGCTATTTCCTTGCAACTACTAGTAAAATACAAGTATTTTCTCGGATTTTTCTGCAGTTTTTCCTGTTTTCCTACTGTTTTTGGCTGTTTTTCTGCTGTGGACAGCAATTTTACATTGGATCTACTTGGTTTTGGTGAGAAACACTTGGAAATCCAAGTGTTTCCTATCAGTATCTCATGATTATTTTGAACGCAACACTACAATTCACCGATAGGCAAAAGCAGGGAATCAGTAATAAAAATCTCGAGCCACTGAAGCGTAACGCCACACCATCGAATCTGCAACACTCGTTCAAGTAGAAAGAAAGCATCTAAAAGCTTCTAAATATAACGTTGTGCACCTTCAAATGATAGTTGTCGCGCAATTGATTAGTGTCAAATATTTTAAAATGTCCTCATACATGCATTACAACATGCATAATAATTCATGCAAAACACCCCTCTCATGCATTAAAATGTGCATTCATATGCATCCCATAATATGCGTGCAATTACAATATGCAGAGGGTTTTTCGAGTATGTCATTTGATATTGTAATCATAATTTAAAATGATTTCTTGCATTCATATGTGATATGCAGAGGATTTCATTCCAGCATTTGCGGGGGTATTTTTGAAATATTTGTAAACGTCTTCTATCCGCTTGCATAGATATTGCGGATTTGGTGGCATGGCGTCGTATTATGGTTATTCGCCCGTTTCATATAGGTAGACTATCGTGCACTACATGTTGCTTCCTGCAGGTAGATTGTAGTGCACTAACGAATCTCCTGCTTTGGCTTGTGAGCGCTTATATTTATTGCAGTTCTTTTGTATTTACTCACGGACAATTTAATGTATGTGCAACAAATTTCCTATAGCACCTCGTATGCATTTGCATTTGATGTAGTCATTTTGCACTTTGCTTGTGGATAATGCGCCGTCACTCCATCTTTGAAAATGATGATTAAACCTGGCTTTCACTTCCCAGAACTCGAATAGGAATCAACAAGAAGCTCTTATGATGATTGGAATGGCAGGTATGTTTTATATTTGTAATTATGAGTTTAGGCCACCAAGCTTTGCATTAATCTTTAACATCACATTTTTCAAACATTGATCATTAATTCTAGTAGGCGAAATACAGTGTGTTGACGTTCACTTCAATGCATTCCGATATATTACATTGTTGCCTCCACTATATGCCAAATCCATCAAGTTGCACAGACATTTTGAATGTCGAATGGGCATCCTACAGTGACTCATATGAGCTTGTACTTGTTATAGACATTTTGCTTATAAATGGCATCTAGTGCATATGGCGGGTTTTCTACGAGGACCCGTAAGTATTTACCTTTGCTATGATCTTCTATATTTTGCCTTCTAGCATTTTGTCTTCCCAGTGTTTGCAGGATAATTATCATAGTTGCCCCATGTCTATTGTCATCATTTGTAGAAAGCTTAGTGCATTCACTTGCATGATGATGTTGACATTCATTTGGATACATCTAGATATATCACATTATTGCTTCCACCTCATGTCGAATCTTTCTTGTTGCAACTGATATGCTGATTGAAGTGTGGGTCTCTTGTAGCAGCACTAAATCTTTCTGTTTATAGGAAATTGGTGTGTTTGGTTAGTGGACTGCATCCTTCTACTTGTGTATCTTCTAGTGTCCATATGGATTGTTGTGTATAATTGCAAGACGGTTGACATCAGTCGTAAGGAGATTTTTAGTCTTATAACATGTCCACGCTCATTATTCACGAAAGAGTTAATACATTTGCTTTCCAGTTGATGATTGTTGTCTACGGGTATATGTTCTTCACACAAAGGACTTTTCGTCATTGCTTGCAAACAATATTTCACCCGAGTGCTCATATGGACTGGAGACCTGTCGTATTTATGATCTACCCCTTCTCATATATTATATGCAAGTGATTTGTCATTGACTATTAGTCGAGTTGCATTTTGTTACCAATTTCTTCAAGCATGTGTGGTTTGTGTATCTCTTGTTATTGTCCACAAACAACGCTCTTTCATGCATTGGCTGTAACAATGATGATTCATATGTAGATCCTCACGTCTTATAATTCCCATTGAATCTTCTTGCTCTTTGCTTATAAGCACATCAATGTGTTTGTTCCAATCATCATATAACTCCCATAAATATGAATGAGATAAAGGTCGCTAGTCGATTACCACTATTGACATAAGAATTTGTAATGTCCAACGGGGGATTTAGTTCAAGGATGAGTAGGAATTTTTATTCTGTGTGGAGTTCGGAGTGCCCGGAGAACAATAAAAATGAGTCACTGCACCTCAAAAATGTACCGCGCTCGGTACTGAGCTCGGTACCGAGGGCGGAACCATACGGGAGAACCGTCGATGTCCGCACAGAATAATAGCTTGACGAGTAAAGAATCTCGTAGCATTTCTTGCAACCAACATATTCTATTCGCACCATTTGTTCGCTTCCTATTAATTGTTATTCATGAGCGAGGAGTTTCATATCATTACTTACAATGATGCTTGTTGAAGGGAGACTTGAATCATTGTTTGCACTTGAAATGCATATTTCTCTTCAACCTTTATTAGGATAGCCTTGTGTATCTACTTGTAGTTTAGATTACACATTCTTATTAGTTAATGATAATCATTATATCATTTGGATACTTGTTGCATGTCTTCTTTATTTGCTATCCATTAAAGGCATCATAGCAAGAAGTCTAATCATGTTGTCTAAAAGTCATCACTACTTGTGAGCGAGTAGTGTTTGCAAGTCTTCTTTTTCACCACAAGTTCCATATATGTTCCTTTGGTTTTAATTTTGGATCATCATTGTTTTAGAAATCATGATTTCATTTTAAGTGAAATTTAGACTTGTCATCACCTTGGTTCATGTTCAAGTCAAAGCTCTTGTTCAAAGTCTTCTAAAGTCCTTGGAAATTCAAGCCTCTTGTAATTCAATTGATTTCGAGTTCTTTATGGTTTAAGTCAAATTTGAATTCAGCTTGAGTTTAATGTGTAAGTTCATTTGCAAGTCTAGTGCGTATGCACTATGCACATTCAAGTCCAAATCCAAGCTTGAGTCTAAGTTTTGGTTCCTTTCAATCTCAATTGATTAAGTTTGATTTTGTGATCAAGTTATGTTGAAATTAAGTTCCAATTTTTTTTTTGAAGACCCTTGCTGTTCAAAAGTTTACAAGTCATGTCCCTTGTATTTGCTCTGAATTTCGACAGCCTCCAGCGTCTCCCCTGTTTAGGGGAAAAACCAAGAGGCAGCCTTCCCCTCCACACTACATGAGTGCTTCAGGTAGATGTCGAGTGACACCGCGGCTGCATTTTCTTTAATCCCTGCGACACTACATGAGTGTTTAAGAGTCTCTGAGCACCTGTTGAAAAGAGCACAGTTGTTTCCGCACACGTATGAATACTTAGTTCTCGACCCCCTAACGCTACATGAGCACTCCCGGGATTACCCACCTCGTCGTAAGCGTCACATCGATTTCTTTCCCCCGGTGCTACGTGAGTGCGTAAAGAGGTTTGTCAGTTCGTCGCAAGCGTCGAGAGCGGGCTTTAAGTTAGAAGTTATACAAGCACTGAGGACATCGGCGGAGTTGTTGGCACGCATATCGAGGCAAACACCTTTTTTGTAATAATAATTAATTACCATTAATAATAATTAGTTATAATTAACCTTAATTAATTATGATTACTATTAATTAATTATGATTAAGAGTGACTACTTATAATTAATTATGATTATTTATAATTAATAATAATTAATTACAATTAAATATTATTAATTACAATTAAAATTCACTAATTATGCTTATTTCGAATTAATTATAATTAAAAAATTAACTTATAATTATCTCTAATTGATTATAATTAATTTTAAATCAATTATAATCAATCAAACAGGAAAACAGGGAATCCGAATAGGAATAATGCTTAGAGTAGTCGGGATACAAGATTAAACGGGTTTTGAGTAAGATTTAGGGACTCATAGCTCTCACATTGAGTTAAATCCTCGATTCCCTCTTTTCGGCTGAAGCAGATTTATGGCGTTTAGCCGAAGAAGCGCGCAGAAGGACAATGTTACCTTCACAGCGAGCGAGCTCCCACATTGCTTCTGATCGAAATGTTATAACGTTCGATCCGACGGGAAAGGAACATCTTTGAAGGAGGAGGAAGGTAGAGATCAGCTAGGGGGTTTGAATCGGAACAGGGAAGAGCAGGTCAGCTTCAGGTGGAAGCTCGGCTAAGGACCGATGGGTTGAGGTCCTCTGGATCGAACAAATCAGAAGCAGCAATGGGTACAGGCGTCGATTGCTTACGATTCGGCTAGGTGGAGGCTGACGGGATAGAGGTCGGTCGTGAAAGAGATGGGTCGGGTAAGCTTCGACACTTGTATGGAGGGAGGAGGCAGCAAATTAAGGATTTTGATTTGATTTTATGGCATAGAAGTCGACGAGTCCAAGGTAGTAGAGATTGACGAAAGCCGGCAAGGTAGGGGCTTCGATCGGCTTGGTCGAGTGGTCTTGTGGCTTCGGCTTAGTGAGGAAGAATGACGGGAAGAGGCGAAGGAAGCGGAGGTCTCGTGCGTATGGGCTTCGACTTCTAGCTACGGATGTGCGTGGACAGCAAAATGAATGAAGCTTAACGTCGTTCTCATTTTAAAACCACAAGTAGGAGTGCGATATCACGCATGGGAGGGATGGGGCGACTGCATTCGGAGCCATTTGCAAACTGCGATAGGATTTCGTCAGATACGGGATGGGCCGCAGCTTCTATAGGTAATTTTATTTTTTTATTTTTTGTTATAATGTGTGGGTCAACACGAACATACCCAAATGTTATGCTAGATAGTAGTTCCCTTACACGTTTCTAACTAACGAGATTTAAATCTCATCTAGGCAAGCTCCTCCAGTTTAGGAGTGAAGGGAGAATTATGCATTGAACTTCTAACTTGGGTAATTACTCAATTGTCATTGATCATACTTGTCTTAATTTTGCGATGAGAATAGAGTTGCTGAATTGCAAGAGTAGGTTGATAATTTAGTGCAGCATTAATTTCCCTTGAAATGGTAATATACTAATGCCTACTCATGTATATCATCAAAACGGAAATCAATCTGTTATTGGTTAGGGAATGTATAACCATTCGACGACTCCCCAATATGGTGGCCAAAAAAAATTATCAATCTAAACATGAGATTTTGACTGACAGTCACTATAGTAGTATTTCCCAAATGAATATCAAGAATGCTATATAACTCCAAAAGCAAATTTCGTGTTTGAGATGTATTTCCCAAGCATAATTTATGCATATTAAATACATCAACTTTCACGACTTCAAAGATTTCATGTAACATGCGAAGAAATTCATATTACTTAAGGCTGTGATTTAAATGCAATTACCATAAGAAAGTTTTCCTCTGCTATAGAAGCGTGTGTTTCTAATATCGACTGAAATAAAACAATGATTAGTTTAATTTAAATTTAATGAAAGTAACTATTATCGTAATTTAAATTTACAAATTTCACACAGCCAATGGAGGCACGCAGCCATGCAAGCAACTCAAATCATCCCCATACTCATGAATCAAAAGCTCCCTCAGTACATGACCCGAGACTAATGGCTTATAGCAAGACAATCAACATAAAGAACAAGTGAAAATGATCAAAATGGTCCCCAATGATTTTAAATGACCATTTTGGTCCTTCAAGTCTTTAAAAAGGAATCAAAATAGACCCATGGTCGGGCTTTTTTTGTTTCACTTTGAGAAGTTGAGGGACCAAAATGGTCCTTAATATAGTTAGGGTTTCATAAATAATCAATGGACCATTTTGATCATTTTCTCTAAAGAAAAACAAATCTTAATGTCAAATAACACATAAAATCATTACAAATGGCAAACTAATAAGAGCAACTGCTATAACATGATACATAGCCTAGTCAGCATAAAACAAAAACATAGAGAATTGAGACATAAACAACTTGACAGAATAATCAAGTCCTTGATCCCTTTAGAAATCCCTAGGGGTTGTTTGATTGCCAAAAAAAGGAATGCAGTGTAAAATGGATACTATGGAGTTGTTTGAATTATTATAAAAGGAATGCAAGAGATTTTTTTTTTTTTTTGCTTTAAAGTAAAATAATGCAGTGTAAAATGCAAAAAAGTAGTGGTCGGTGGCCGACATTGGCGTAGGTGATGGCCGGCGACAGTTGGTGGGCGGCGGTCGATAGGTGGCGGTGACCAGGGGTGGCAGGCAGTGATCGATGGTAGGTGCTTGGCAAGTGGTGGTTGGCGGACAGCACCAATTGGAATAAATTTTCAATGCATTTGGAACTTGCCCGAATCGGAGGAATTCCAAATACGCTAAAAAAATGAAGATGGTGTATTCCAAATGAACCAAAATTTTATATTGCATTTGTTTTACTTCAAACCAAACGTCAATATTTTCAAACTCTTGTGTTTGGATTACTTTACAGTCCTAATGCAGGCAACCAAACAACCCATTAGTTCCTTCATTTTTTAAATAAACTAAACTCGTCTAGTTTTGAGCAATAACTGTTTACACTGCAAGCAAACTTGCTTGACTATCACCTCCCGCCCCTGCCGACCACCTCCGACCACCGCCGCCCATTGTTAGCAACCATAGCCACTACCCCCATCGACCACCTACCAACACCCACCGCCGCCGCCCAGTGCATCCACCCACTGCTGCCCATCGCATTGCCGCCCGCCGCCCCAACCCACAACTACAACTGAATATCACCACAATTGTCAGCACCGGCGCTGTCGCTGCCGCCACCAACCGACCGCTGTCATATTTGTACTTTACACTACATTCATTTTACTTCAAAGCAAATAAAAAAATATTCACATGTATTTACTTAGCACTAGTCCAAATAACTCCAAAGTATTCCTTTTACATTGTATTCCTTTTACACTGCATTCCTAATGTAAGAGAATTTGAACATTTAGACCTCCACTAATGCTATGATAACAAAGCAAGAATAAAATAAAAAACATGTATCAAATTCAAGGGACCTATCATTAAAAATTGTAAACTTCAAATAGCTAATCAATAACTAATGAGATATAAATGTCTTATGACATTTAAATTCATTTTTTAACATACGAAGGATGACCTTTGGAAAACAAAACTGATTGCAAATTTAAATGAGCAAATATGAGCTATTAATAAGTTATGAGAAGTTTAATGGACCTTGTATAGCAAAAAAATAAGTAGGAATAAGTAGATATATTCAACAAACAACACCGATCACATTAATGACAAAAAGGCAAAAACGAAAATAAAGCAAGTTCAATAAAATAAAAGCTAGCAAAAGAACTCACCATAAACTATCTTGACATGGCCTATCTGGTGCAAGAAGGCTATCTAGGTTTGAGAGTAAAGCCTAAGCAAAACAATCAATCACGTGAGAACTTTATATGACGGTAAAAAGATATCATGAAAGAAAAACAAGTAGAAAACAAGGATAGATTAAACACGTAGAAAACAAGGATAGCTAATCTACCTAACTTGTATATAGACATTAGTACGATCTCCACAAAAACCTATTAAATAAAAATAGCAAAGAAATATAGACCCTCTATCATGATGAATTCTCTAAATTATCATTTTAGTCATTAAATATTTTTACATGTACTGTTTTAGGACCTAATCTACATTCTAGTGAAAACTATGAGGTTTCAAACTCTTTGAAAATGCGTATGCCTCCAATCGAGTATTATAGAGGGATGAAACCTCTATGCCTATATGAAAAAATAATCCTTTGATTTCTTACAAAGGGGAACGTTTAAAAGGGTTACGATGTATGGCCCAAAAAGCATTACACTGTATAGGCCTACTCGCAAGGTTGAAACATATGAAAAGAAAAAAAAATATATAAATAAGAAATATTTACAAGACAACCAAAACAAGTAAAAATTAATTAAAATAGAAAATTTAATACAGAGCTATGCTGATATAAATAAATAATTTTCTTGTTTTTATCTTAATAATATTTATTAAACCAGGCTAACATCGTGCCTCACCCTTGAGAAAGGTTAGGAAAGCATCTTTTTTTTTTACTCGCAAATGATTATATAACAAAATTCTTCTTCTTTTTGCAACGTTTTTTTAGCATCTCCAACCCGCTAAATTAAATTGTTATCTTTTATATCAAATAAATATTAAATAATAGCAATTTTCTAGCAAATAATCCATAAAAAGATTTTCTTTTATTGCCTTTAGCTAGGATGGAGAAAGGAGCAAAGGAAAATATTAAAATAGAAAAAGATTTTGCATTAATGGATAAAAAAAATGTTAACTGCAGTAAATTTGGAGCAGAAACCGATAGCATTGAGCGATGAAATGGTGGCTTATTGTAAAAAAAAAGGTGTGAGATGATTGGGGGACACTATACAATCAACATTGTAATGCAATTGATAGTACTCAACCCTATTGAGATATCATGTGCTTCCAAGGAGTTGATTAGCATGAATTACCTAAATGGATCTGACTTTCAACAACTCGAAAAGAAAAAAATATTGGTAAATAAAGAAAAGCACCAAAGAGCTAAGTTCCTCTTTTCATCCCTCTTTTTCCATGCTTAAGGTCATACCATATTTCTACATAATAAGTCCCCACTCTTTTTCACACACATAAGATGATAAAATTAAGAATCTAGAAGGAGAAAAAAACTTTCCCTCCATATCTACCTCTAATTAAAAGAAAATATAATTAATAAAGAGCTAGGCTGATACAAAGAAATAATTTCTCCGTTTTTTCTTAATAATATTTACTAAACCATGCTAACATCATGCCTCGCCCTTGAGAAAGGTTGATCAAGCACCTTTTTTTACTCACAACTGATGAAATAACAAAACGCTTATTCTTTTTGCAATGTTTTTAGCCTCTCCGGTCATTTAAATTATTTTCTTATCTTTTATATCAAATAAATAGTAGCTATTTGATATGAAGTGGATGCAATTTTCTCAAAATCATCGAGCGACAATAAGGAATTAGGATGAAAAACACACCAAAACTATTTTTATTACAAGATATATGAAAGAAAATAGTAAGATACAGTTGGATCTTCAATTGGAGAGGAAGATTCGGCTCTCCCAAATCCCTAGCCGCCAGCGAGCCCAAATAACCTAAGAATAAACTAAGTTCAGCAAACTACCAAAACTTAATCTGAAATCACCCAATTGTTAGCCTTAAATAGGCTCCCATAATTTCTTCCCAAATCAGCCCCCTTTCCCTAAATAATTTCCTTTTAGATTTGAATTTAAATTAGATTTATTTCTTGAATTAATTCCCTCCCAATTATAATTAAAACTTTCCAAAACAATCCCCCCTTAATTCAACCTCCTTTTCCCTAAATAATTCCCTCTAAGAATTTGAAATCAAATTAGATCTCTTGCTTAAATAATTTCCTCATAATTGTAATTTAAACATTCCTAAATAATTCCCTTTGATTAAGAACCTTCCTAAACAGCTCTCTCTTGGTTAGGAAACTTCTTAATTCCCTCCCAATCAAATCGGTCGGTCCATCACAATTTTCTAGCAAATAATCTGTAAAAAGTTTTTCTTTTAGTCGTTAGTTAGAACGGAGAAAGGAACAAAAGAAGATATTAATATATAAATAAAATTTGCATTAATTGGTTAAAAAAAATGTTAAGTGCAGTAAAGTTAGAGCATAAACTGATAGCGTTGGCTTATTGTAAAAAAAAGATGTGAGATGATAGGGGGATACTACACAATCAACATTGTAATGCCCTACTGGATATCATTTGCTTCCAAGGAGTTAACTCACATGAATTATCTCAATGGAGCTGACTTTCAACAACTCGACAAGGAAGAAAGTTTTGGCTAAGAGGCTCGTTTGGGATAGCTTTACTACTGGTTTTTTAGCTTCTTTCAAAAAAATTATATACTAAAAAGCTGCTTTAGAAGGCAATAAAAAAATGTCCCAAACAAATACCAAGAAAGAAAAGCACCCAAGAGTTAAATTCCTCTTTTCATCCCTCTTTTTTCTTGCTTAAGGTCATACCATATTTCAACATAATAAGGCCATACTCTTCTCACACACATAAGACGATCAAAACTAAGAAGGTAGATGGAAAAAAAAACTCTCCCTACATGTTTACCTCTATCTCGATGTGAGCCCAACCCCCACCCCCTCCAAAAAAAAAATCCCAATCCTTCATTAGAGGCTATTTTCAAATGAAAGATAACAATTAATTAATAATAGTGGAAATGTGATTCAGCATAGGGATATTGACCCTTCAGACTGATCAACTCAACCATACAACCAAAGCTATGAATCAACTCAAACAATGTTCCAACCCACCCTCCATCTATGGCAACGTCATATTGGCATAAGAATTACAATAGGATGGGAAAAAGTAACCAATCACACTCTCTCCCTCCTCTTTCTATCTTTCATTCATGTTTAAGTGCAACCAAACACCCTCCCTCTGTGACAATGTCATATTGGCATAAGAATCACAATAGCCACCTCTTTCTCTCTTTCAATCATGTTCAGTGCACAGTTTACTCCGGATTGTTGAAGACTTCAAATCAAGAACAGTTTAAAGTTTATTGTAATCGTAGTCTGTATTTTTCATTTTATTGAGTATGAGAGTGTGCGATTGTAATTGAGTAACTGAGCATACACACCTGAGGAGAGTTTTTAAATTCATATTTTTAAACTGATCGTACTGTACGATATCACTTCGTACAAGACGATCTGGTCAGATATTTTCCCCAACGAGCTGTTGAACGAACATGAATGGAAATATTTTTTCTAAGTATGGATCGTACGGACGATATTTAATTTCATCCCAGGACGAACGTCTTTATTCTGACCTCAGACGAAGATCGTACGGACGATATTTAATTTCGTCCCAGGATGATTGTCTCTATTCTGACCTCGGACGAAGATCGTACTGACAATATTTAATTTTGTCCTAGGACGAACGTCTATGTTATGTCCTCAAACGAAGATCGTATGTACGATATTTAATTTCGTACAGGGACGAACGCCTCTATTTCTGTTCTCGTTCATTTCATCCTGATGTTTCGTACAAACGAACTTTGAAATTTTTTTGTTCGTACCAATGTTTAAAATTGCGTATTCGGGTATTGAGACGCTTTTCATTCGTGAGGCGAAGCGTAAGCCTCAAGGCGTTTTGAGGTGTAAGCCTCAAAATCAAAAGATTGCGTACACATAAAATGATAAAATTTTTATATACTAATGAGTGAATAATATAAAACATAAAAAAGCATAAGATATGAAGTGAAATCAAAATATCTCAATAATAAGACAACATGAAATATAGTTCAACTCAAAATTCTATCTTTCCCAAATCCCAGTATTCTTTTCATTAACATATAATTCCAATTTTCAAAAATAAATAGCAATTACATATCACATAAAAACTCATAAGTCATCAGCACTATAATCACTAAGGGGTTCTTCATTTGAATCATCATTATGGTGAACTGCTCTCTCCCCTTCCTCCTCTCCTATAGAGTCTAATGTCGGGCATTTACTTCAAGATTTATGTAAGTTTTAATATATATAGCGTGAGGCGTAAGCCTCATGCCAGTGAGGCGAGGCGGGCCTCAACCAAGTTGAGGCGCAAGCCTCATAAAAAACTCGAGGCGTAAGCATCGAGGCGTTTTTTATTGGAATTGCACAAAGGCGGGACTCAAGGCGAGCCTCATATTGCGCAATTTTAAACCATGGTTCGTACCGACCGAACTTATTTCGTGCAGGACGATGATCGAGTACAAAATGATTTTGTACCTATTCACAATGGGTTCGTACGCAACAATATTTGAACTGTTCGTACGCACGAATATATGATCGTATTGTACGATTGTGTACGCTCAAAATTGAAAACTTCAATTTTCTGGACGGTTTTTTGTGTCTTTTGTATAAAAGGTCCACTAAAACTGACTTCTAAAAATCTTGTCTACGTGAATTTTTAAGAGCAATTGGAGAGAGATATCTTGCAAGTGGAGTGAGAAGGGTTCACAAGGTTACTCAAAGGTAAGGATCTCTTTGTAATTATGGTTATCACTCTTCCTCTTATCTTTCTAATTGTCAGTGAAGATCTTCGGATAAGATCTGGTACTCTGCCGACATTTGAAAAGTGTGAAAGGACGAAGGTTCTCTGTCTACACGTGGAGGGTGTGAAAAGACGACGGTTCTCTGCCGACACTTGGAGAGTGTAAACAGCCAAAGGTACTCTGCCTACACTTGGAGAGTTGAAAGGACAAAGGTTCTCTGCCTACACTTGGAGGGTGTGAAAGAACGACAGTTCTCTGCCGCACCGGGATTGGTGGAAGAGAGTTTTGTAAAGGCTTCTCCGCCTTGCTGTGAGGGCTAAAGGAGAGTCAATTTGATAATAGTGCAATACCTGAAGTGGGAGGTTTCAGGGAGTGGATGTAGGTCGTGTTTGACCGAACCAGTATAAATCTTTGTGTCTTTTATTTTTCCGCTGCTTACTTACTGCATGTTATTAATTCCATGGTTGAAAAGCTGTTTTGAAAACTTTTAATTAACTTGCATCATATATCCATCGGTTTCAAATTTTAAAATCCAAGAGTAATTTTTAAACTTACCAATTCACCCCCCTCTTGGTTAGCCTTGGGATATTAGTTTAGGTTTAACAACCTAATCAAGATTCAACAAGAATCAACACATATTAAAAAAAGTCTTCCTTCCTCTGATGCGGACATCTAACCATGAAAGCTTATCTGAGGAAGAGATGAAGATCGACGGTCGAGATCCCTCCTTTTTTTATCTTAGTTTATTAATTATATTTTTTATTTAATTATGTTTTTTTTCATTTTTACCCTTACTTAAGGGTATTGTCCTATATAAGCCCAAAGGGCAAAGTTGTCTTTTAGTTTCTTTTAAGGCCTATATATAGAGGTCCTTGCTATTATAATGGTATGATGGAGTTTTAATAAAATTTTGTTCTGCACTTTTATTCTTTGTGAGGACATTAGTGAAAATCCCTATAGAGGGAATCGTAGTTTCCACCAGCCGAAGGATGGGTCCGAGCTCATGGCTTGAAGTCCCTTGGTGAAGGGCAACGCATCACCCATCAGTCTTCGAAAGAGTCCAAGGCTCACGGTTCTTTTTTTTTTTTACTTTTTGTTTTGTTTTACCTTATTTCCCTAAACCGCCGCCTACTCGAGCCCTCCATCAAGGCGCCAATCTTCTCACCCCATCACCTCCACACCATCGGCCTACGCCAGACCCTCCCTCTTCCCTCCCCTTGGCCGAAATCCACCAAGGCTCCCTCCCACCCGCCGGCCACCTCCTTCCCTAACCCCACTTCCCTCCAAAAATCCCACTTTCCTTATTTAAGTTGTCATATTAATTTAGAAAGATTTTAAATTCAAATTAATCTAATTTGAATTTCAAATTCATCCTCATTAATTACATTAATTTTGAAAACTTCTTTCATTCAATTAATCAATCAATTCTGAAATTGATTGGTTAATTAATCCCTAGCCCAAATACATTGAACATAAACACCCCTTTTCTCCCCTCCCTCTTTCTCCCTCCATTCAATTAATTTCCTTCCCCTCATTGCTTCCCAATTAACTCTCATCTCTTAATTTGAATTTTAAATTTTGAAAAGTCTTTAATCCCTTTCCTAATTTAAGATTATAATTAAAGAATCATTCAATTACCCCATTATCATCTTCCTAATTTAGCACTATCTTATTTGGAAAGATTTCGTAATTCAAATTCAAATGAATTTGAATTTTAAAATTTTTCCTAAATATCCCACACCTATTTTAGAAAATTACTCTCAATTAGTGCAAATCTGAATTAAATGATTGGATTTGAATATATATATTTGTTCGGATATAAAAATAATATAATATTTTTTATCCATTATAAATGTAATTAATAAGAAATATATGTGAATATCTCATTTTATTTGATATTTTAATAATTAATTCTTATGTATTATAATATATATATATATATATATATCAAAATAATCCCCACATTATTCGTATATGATCAATTAAGTCTCAAAGTATCATGTTGCCACAATTTAGTCCGTTGGCTATACAAAATTGATACAAAATAATCTCTCATGTTGATCCAAATTTAATACCTCGACTTTATAAAATTGATCCCAATTTTAATACCAAAGAGACCATTCAAAGAACATGATTCTCAAGAACATAAGTGGGTTGTGATAGCATTCAAAGGCAGGTAGAACGCAACTAAATGCCAAAAGCAGTAACAAGCAACCTAAGGGTTCCACAATGTGATAGAAAAAAATTAAAAAGTGTATAAGCTCAAAACCCTTATTTACCAGGAGCATATTAGTTCCCTCATCACGCCTCCGAAACCCTTGTGATACAAAATAAGCAGCCTAGGTGATCCAGAATTGTCAATATAAGAAGTCATTTGATAGTAAATAATGCAAACAATTATATGCCTAATCATAACCCTAACACCAATATCAAAATGTAAACAAAAACCTGGATTGGTAATAGTAGCTCCAATAGTCCAAATTTCCAAAGCAACCTCATAGAAGCCTCAGCGGACCCATATGCAAGCATATAATTCATTTCCATTAGGATCCTTCCCTGTGGTACTTGCAAATAAGATAACATAAAACCAAACCTTGGTACTGAGAAAAATATGAAACAATGAGATAAGAAATAATTTAAATCATTGCAATGCACCTTGTCGAGTCTTATTACTGATGTGGCAAGATCTTTTATACACTGAGCCGTTTCTCTATTAAAGCGAAAACCAAGACGGGCTGCAATTCTAATCGCCCGTAGAATTCGAGCTGCAAATAACATTGCATAGGAAAATATATGTAAATAAATGTCTTTAAAACAACCAATATAATAATGATCTCATATGATCAGGCAATTTAGAATTTTCACTTAACCACAATCCTCTTGGAAAGATGTCTGAGCAGGAATTACAGTTCGAACCTTAAGGGGAAGAAAAAAACAGAAGGCGCGTCACTATATTAGCCGTAAGAGGAAAGCAGCAAGTTACTAATACAGACTAAAGAAATACATGCACACTTTAGCCTTTTTAATGTCTTCCATGCCTCCCAAATAGTCATAAACTAGCCGTGTGTATGGGTCAAACATCAACCTGAGCAATAGGACCAAGAAATTATATCAATACAAGCATCATAATAACAATTCGATTAGTCTAGCAAAATAACTAATATGTGTGAAACAAACAATCTGATGCAAGAAGTTGTTCCGGAAATATGCAGGCTAAGATTGCTAAAGCAACAAGTCTATATCTTAAATTTATAAAAATATGACATGAAATAGTAACCCATTAATTGTAAAATCGCGTCCAAGGCAATTTCTCCAGCGGACACAGTCATGTTCATCACAATCGGGAGGTCTTCGAGAAATATATCTAACATAATTGCTTGAATATTTTCTTGAGGTGCTAAAACTTGAAACCTGCATCACAAGAGATGCTTACGTATGGGAAATTGATGAGAAAAAAAGAATAAGGTTTTAAGTATAGCTACGTTGATTGAGATGTTCCTTGAACATCTCTTTTTATTTCAAATGATTACCGAAAACTTCATAGTTCCAGTTAGCCAGTAATTGTTAAAGCTTGGCTTGAAAAGCACCGAGAACAAACCTCAACAATATAATCATTGATATGAACATGGCAAATGGGAAACCGCTTTCCCACAATGTCACACCTTGAAAACGCTTTCTTAACCTGCACCAATTTACTGTTACATAATAAGACCAAAATGAAAGACATAATATTAATTTAACTAAATAATCAAGCCAGAAACTAATTTTGTGTATATTACGCTTGATAATTGATCACTGGTTGGTGCCCCAAAAAAGAGACCAAGAACAAAAAATCAATAAGCCAAACTGACCTACATATTTTTAATGATTTCATGAAACACTTCTTTCTTTATCAGCTCAATCGATGATATTAAAAAACCCTATCGCATGTGTAAAATCCAATTTGATCAGATGTATGCCACATTAGAATCAATTTAACAATACGCTGAAATTCCAACTTTCACAAAATTCCGCAATTTTAATGTCATTGTATTCTACTTGTCGAATGGAGCAATTCAGCATATAGAACTATAGATTAAATTGTGAAGAATTGGAAATTAGGGAATTAAATCCCATTTGTTTTTTCCTAAGTTAAAGGAAAAAAAAGATATTACTATTTAAAAATAAAGTTTACTTTAGAATTTATATGGTTAGTGTATTTAACATTTCTAATTTAATAGGGTTCATCTATTGATTGAGGCATTGTACTACGAGGGAGATTGATACTTATAATCATATATGCGATGTGGAAAGTGGAAGATATATTAGTTCGAACGTAAATTAATTGTATAAGTTGGATAAAAGATTGTGTGAATCACCAATTAATGATTTGGTTTGGTTTAGATGCCCTATACATATACGCAGGCACAAGGTATCCAACTTTGTAAGTCCGCACAACAACAATGTAATATATACAATTTTGTTAATATAGTAGGCTACTTTGATTTTGTATAATTGTATATGGGTAAATTTAATTAGTTATGTGTAATATTTGTCTCTATATTACACATCTATAATTAGCCTAAAATTGTTATTTATATAGTACTGTTATATGTAATTTGCCGCTTATTATAATCCTGGTATATTATGTGATCATATGTAAGTCTATTAAGTTCTACCTTGTGATAGGTATTCATACAGTCATACCTACCGATATATTGATACACATGACAATCATATTAAATTGCCTGTATATACATGTTTCTATATATAGGCAAGTGTCACACAACTTAGAAAGGAAAATGCAATGATCAGAAAAGTCTGAGAATGTGTCATGTTAGGCAGTAGGTGAATTGGGCACTGCGACCCTAATGGACAGTGTGACCTCGATATGATATGAAGCTTATGGGCTATGATTCGAAGCCTACGGGAAATAGAGGAAGTGCGACCTCATGAGCCTACTGGCTATGATATGAAGTCTATGAGAAATAGAGGCGATGCAACCTCATAAGCCTATGGGTTATGATATGAAACCTACAGGCGATAGAGGCAGTGTGACCTCAGGAGCCTACGAGCTATGATATGTAGCCTACGGGCGATACAGGCAGCGACTTCAAATTTCTATAGGCTGTAGACCTAGACCTAACCATGTGGACATGAAACTTTTTAAAAGAAAGTTATTTGATGAACTGAAAGATATAAGGATGATTATATAGTGCGATATATGAATTAATCATTGAATAATTGGGCATGATTGATGATGTTGGCAGTATGTGACATGTGGTGATGATATTGGCATTATGAGATATAGTCGAAAGTTTAATTCAGATGAGCATAGTTCTTACATGCATTTAAATGATTACATGCAATTCTTACTTCCACTTGTTGATACAAAGGTAAGTATTGTGATTCATATACTTAAATACAGTATTAAATTTGTATATATTTGTTAGCCTCATAACTCACCAAATGTTATTATGGCTATTATTATAGGAGAGGGCAGAGATAAAGTGGAAGCTGACTAGACTCAGGTAAATTTTAAAACTATGTTTGGTTGTGTGGTAGTATGAGATGAGTCCTGAGCAAAGGCAAGTGAATTGTTGTTATGAAAATACATTTAGGTGGTTAGTTGCTCTATAATTATATACGTATGAAGTGCATGAAAAAAATTGAATGTTTTCATTTTAAATGACATGAAGATAGTTGAAAATATTTGTGTTATGAATGTTTAGGACTTATATGATTTTCTCTGTTGCACCCTGCATTGTTTGGAAGGAGCAACGTGTGGTGTGACAACATGCCTTCTCAAGGTTCACTAAAACTATACTTGTGTTTTTACTGAATGAATTTACATAAATTGCTAGCTCATTATTCACTAAGACCCATTTATTTATGGTAAAGGAATAATTACAATGTGCTAAGTTACAACCAAATAAATGTATATTACTCACTAATACAAGTAACTTTCTAACTTGATATTTTCTACAATACATATATTAACCACATCCAGGTTATTACATGATTTTAAAAATTAAAAAGATCATAGAACATTGGTAAATATTTAAGACAAATGTTTTTTCAATAGCAACAAGAATAGTCATAATTTTCTTTGAAATAACTACATCTTTGATAAAATGATGTCAACTTTGATATGTTTAGTCCTTTTGCAAAACTAAATTGCTAGCAATATAGATTGCCTTAATTATCATAATCCCAAATCATTAACTAGGTAACATAAAAATCAAACTACTTAAAAGAGTTTTTACTTGCATCTTTTCACAAGCAAAGTGAGTTATTATGCATTCAGCTTCAGCACTATATCTAGTCATACTTGTTAGCTTCTTGATGCTCCTGTTCACAAAATTTCCACCAACAAAAATACAATATCAAGAAGTCGGCTTACTATCCTCAACAAACCTAGTATAATCAACATCTAAAAAAGATTCAACCCTTAAATGCCCATTTATTTGATAGAATAGCACTTTTCTAGGAGATTTCATGACTTAACTTACAATCCTCATAGTAGTCTCCCAATACTTCTTCAAACTTGCATGTGTTGACTAACCACACCAACATCAAAAGATGTATCCAGTGTAGTCACAATCACAAATAAGCTTCCCAGCCAAACATCAAAACGAGAAGCATCTTCATAGATTTTCTCATCATTAAATTTTTGTAGACTATCAATAGGAGAGTTGACAAGCTGGCATCCAAGAAAACATAATTCTCAAGATGGATTGTAGAATAGTCTCTCTTTGAGAGAGAGAAACGCCTTCTTTATTATATGTAAACTCAATGCACTAATCTTTAGTTGCAAACATTTTTTAAAGATAATACTTTATTTGAACAATGCCCGAATGTCTCTTCCAATAAAAAGAAAGCCCTCAACTTACACGGCTAGAATCAACATGTTAAATGAAATGTTCCGAATAAAGATCAAATGATCAACAAAACTACTTCTTTAGTACAATATCAACGAGAACCTTGCAGAGCTTGTCAAGCTTGTCAACGATGTATGAAGATTTTATTACAACCTACATATAATTTCCTTAAGCTTACATGTTTTTTCCTCTCCCTGAGTAATGTACCCATGAGGCTGCTCCATATAAATAGCTTCAATGAGATCCACATATAAAAAATCATTATTGGCATCAATTTGCAGCATAGGCTACCCTTGAATGACAGCAACAAAGAGAAAATGGATAGAATTAATCCAACAATAGGGGAGACAGTCTCAAAAGTATTTTATGACATGAACCTATGTTTATCCTTCATCCACCAATCATGCCTCGTATCATTCAGTAGATACTATTAGATTCGAACTTAAAAATGAAGACCCAAGCCCAAAAGGAAGTGTAACGAAATCCTATGAATGACAATCAATAAAAGCATCCATTATGCTGCTTGTTACATGCTTTCACTTACAATCAAGTAGAGCCCCCTAATATGCCATCAAAAAAGAGAGAGTAAACAAAGACAAGCAAAACCAATAAAGGAAAGAGGATAGGCATTCAAAGGTCAAAAAAAGAATAAAAGAATATGATCACTCACTTAAAGCAATAACCCCTCTTCCAACTCAAGGATTCATTTTCCATGAGGTTGATTAAGTTTAATTGAACTAGATTTTTCATGTTGTTAAAACCAAGGTTTATTTATATTTAAGGTAAATATTCCTATGGCACAAGACCCCATAGTCAATTACCTCTTCCATTAACATGGAGGCACTTTTGATCAAGGATGATTGCTTATGCTCAATTTTAGGCTCAAGAGTAATTTTAGGTTTTATTTGAATAAATGGGTAACTTTGGGAGAATTGATGTAGAGATAGACCTAATCAAAATCTCATACCTCCTTCATCCCGAGCATTACCAATGGGCCCAGTCTACCAACATCAAACGTTGGCAAGTCGTAATGTCCATGCAATTTGATTAGCAAACATAAATTACTCCCTCTCAAGTATATTGAGCAAAACAGGGATGTATATGGCATTTTGATTGATGGATTTGGTTTTTATTAGTATGCTTTAATTAGTATGGGAGTTGGTTTGGGGATAGATTTTGTCAAGGCTTACACAATGGAAGGCCTAAATTTAATTAGTATAGGCTTAAATCCTTACATCCATTGGTAGACCATAATTTTTTATTTGTGTTTATTAGTTTTGTGTTGGCCAAAATTAGTTAGATTAGGACTTACATCCATCAGAAATCCCAAGTTTTAAATCAAAAAAAGGAAATTCTTATTTTATTTGTCTGTATTCCATAAGGATGGGGCTAACTACTCAGAAATCAGAACCAACCACAATAGTGGGTCTTACATTATTGCCCTATAGACAAGGCAACCCAATTAATTAAAATTGATTTTGATTTCAATGTAACACATAGTTTAGTTATAACATGAGTTGCCCAGAAGAATGGTGCTAAGAACTTTGTTATTAGAATCAATCTCAATAGTGGGTCTTACAAGCTTGCTTTATAGGAAAGGCAGACCCATATTTTAACACGCATGTCACAATAATGGCTCACCAAGACTCTTGGATCAATTAGGAGATGGCTAAGTTGAATTTAGGTCCTTAGTCTATCAAACTAATCAAAGAGTCGACATCACATGCATTTCAGTTAGGATCCTATGGGAATTATGATAATTTGACTTTTGAGATAGCATTTTGGTAATTTACTATCCTCAAGAAGAGTCTATAGTTCAGCTTGGTTCATCCCAAGGATCCATCAAAACCACTGGTCTAAATTAAATTCATTTGAAATTTGGGAGTACACATGTACGTGTTATAACATATTAGGACACTTAATTGATTTGATAACATTTCCATTGATGTTTGTGCATCATTTATAGATACTAGGCATGCTTATGATGCATCTTTGTCCCTAGACCATTTTTCAAATTGTTTGGAGCTGCAACATGATTTCTTATCAATTTGAAGTACCCAAGGTATTGCATAAAGTTTTTTTTTTATCTCGTATTCTTTGGCATATGGTTAGTTTATTATACTTTGATATATACATAAGATGTCTTTAAAAAGTTAACTTTTTTTTTCATTTCATTATCTCGAATGGAGTTAAAGTTGCTTCTCAAAGAAAAGCAACATAAAAGATACAAACCAGGATTCAATAAAAGTTGGATATGTATTTCCCCATCAAATTATTTTATAGCAAGGAGCTATTCTATATTAGATTGTTTTTATCAACGTCTAACCTATAGTAATAAAAAACAAAAAGGTGATTGTTTACTCTTGACTCAATCAACTAAAAAAGGCTTTTTTTCCTTTTAATGATTGGTAACTAGTCATCTTATCTACATATTGAGATGCATTTTTAGCTTGTAGTTAAAGATAGAAACTATGAGGATTAAAAGTTTTAGGTGAGAAAATACAAAGCAATGCTTCGTTTGTTCAATGCCCCTTCTATTTATAGCCAGCAACAATTTATAAAATATTACTAAGTAAAATATAAGGAGGGTATAAAGTTAGCTATATACTAAATTCTATACAAGGAACTATAAAATATTATGCGCAAAGCAAAGCAGCAAGCTAAAAGCCATACTTAAACCTATGAGTTCAACCTTAAAAAGAAATGAACATATTTCATAAGCTAGAGCTCACTAATAAAGCCTTATTTGTTTGCTTTAAGTTGAAAATATATTTTTTTAAAAATAATTTGTTTACTAGATTATGTCGTTTGGTTAGATAAAATTATAAATAATTTTAATTTTAATTTCAATAAATATATTTAAATTACTTATAAAAAGCTACCATCACTCATCCTTCAAGTGATGTTAAAGGAAGTAAAAGAAATGTTCCACCATTTAATGAGTGATGATCTAGCACTTCACATTAAAGAAGGAGCCGACCAACAACCTCCCTCCATGTTCCCACCAACCACTTCAATCATGCAAGAACCACTGACCATATCAAGTAGGGAATTTAACTTTTGAATAATAAGTAAGAGGGAGAGCGTTTTAATAATCTAATTGTGCCAAGGTTAATTGACCAGTTAAAAGAAAAGGAAGGTGCTTCTTCCATGGTTTACCTTGGTGATTGAATCCCTTCTTTTCTTTGGTGGAAATTACAGAGCTTTTTTGTGCTTTATTTAATCCTTAGCAAGAAAACTTCAAGTCTTTATCTCTCATGAGCATCTTCCTTTCATGAACAGCCCATCAAGCCCTTACACCTCCATGCAAAAGATCTCCAACCATCACCATATGTCATAACACCATCCCCACCACACTCAAAATCCTATTCCATCACCTCTACTACATTTTAGACTATCCATTAGAAGGCCCATACCATCCATTATCCCTCACAAGCCTTATCATCCCTTGCAAGCTTTCATCCTTAAGGCTAACCACATACAACCCTTACACCTCTTTCCCACCTATTCACCACAACCCATGGAACCCATTTCATAGTCCTCAACCATTTAAGGCCTCCCCAAAAAGAAATGACACCTAATCACGTGGTTAAAATTTTAACAGCCATTACAAGAGGAATAAAGCTTAGAAGAATCATATTGAACAAAGAACCACAATAAAACAACTAAGAAGTAGCAAGAACCTCTGAAAGATTGGCGGTGGTTATAATATCAAAATCTTTAGGAACCCTCCTCATTATGAGATCCCGAACACAGCCTCCGACCAAGTACACATCATACCCTGCAACCATATTAAAAATATTCTAACTTACACTAATACATGCCACATAGGAATTAAAACTTACATCTTAATCGCAAAGAAAATTAATTCAATTAATCCACGTCCAAAGGAAAAGCTAGATTGTCGATTAAATTAGGACCAACCTCTCCTCCTTAGCTCACTTAGAACAGACCTTGTCTGCTTTGATATCATTTTGTTTTTAATTCCAAGCTCATTTGAACTCATCTTCTTCCAAAGCGACCTGATGCCCTCGACCCCTTTCAGTCCAGAGAAAGGCACTTCAGAAAATCGTAGAAAAGGGACCGTAAGAAACGAAAGGAAAGGAAAGTAAGCACAGACCATTAGAAGGAGAGGTAGAAGGCGGTGAGGTGGCTTGATCTTGATGCCCATTGCCGGCGAGGAAGTCAGACTTCGCTATAGCCTCATGGGCAGCGAAGGAGCTCCGATGGCGAGGACACAAGTTACGAGGTGGGCAGAGAGTGAAAGAAGTCTTGGAGACGGCTCCAATGCCCGGCAACGCCATTTGAATAACGAAGAAAGCCCGTTGGTCGGCGGCGCAGCCGGAAATTGACTTCAATTAATAGCGGGCAGCTGAGCCTCCAAAGCCCTACGGGGGAATTTTTATTGAGTCCTCCCAGCTGAGGCAGAGATGCTTCCTCCTAACGCCAAAAAATTCAGTTTTTGCTCGGTATTGTTAGATATTATTTGATAATAACGAGGAATATCATCATGTGAAGACCAATACCGAATTATACCGAGCTATACTGAGCAATACCGAGCATACCGAACACATACCGAGTTTTCTCTAGGAAAAACTAGGTATTTTTTTGTATTGCTCGATATTGGTCTTCACATGATGATATTTCTCGTTATTGTTTGGTATTGCTCGGTATTTGCTTGGCATTTCTCATTTTTTAGCGCGATTTTAGCTCTGGGAGAACGCATCTCTGCGTCAGGTGGGAGAACGCAATAATAATTCCCTACGGGGGGCTGTTTGGTATGGAGTGGGTTTAATTGAGCGGGATTTAGGCTTTGTTGGGACTACTTTCTTATTGCTTTTCAAAATAGTTTTTTAGTAGAACATAATTAATTTATGTAATAGAAAGTTGCTTTAAGAATCAGTAAGAAAGCTGTCTTCGTTTGTGACGACTTTTTTGCTTAATGAAACAGCTTTGTAATATAAAAATTAAATTTTTGTACTAGAAAATTGCTTTAAAAAGCAATAAAAAAATCATCCCAAACGAAACCTTAATAAATTTTGAGAGTGTTAAATTTTAAAAATTATTTAATATGACAAATATTAAATCCTGAAAATTTATTTGGCATCAGCTTCCAGCATTTAAGACAAGTAGATATTTAAATATGAATAAATAACACTGAATTACATCAATATGCTTGTTATAAATTCAAGATAAATCAATACCACATAATAAATCCAACATGACCTCGTATAATAGAAACTAGTACATGTATAGAGAGTACATGACACAATGATAGACTAATATTTATTTAGACACTGATAGACTATTATATGATAATACACTTCAATATGATATAGAAGTTGATATATCTTGCATTGGAGAGTAACTTCATCATAACGATTGATTTCTTTGATAATATATATGAAATCAAAAAATTATGAAATTACTACAAAATGTATTCATAGTTAAAATAGTATAAATGCATAGATAAATTCTTACTCGAGCATTCAACAAATATGTTGCGATGACATGCCTTATCATTTCTTCCTGATTCATCCTCATATTGTCGTAATACAAGTTAAGATCTTCATCGGACATTTCAACTTCGTCATGTTCATTATCATGCACGAATTCCATCTGTGGCATATTGAAATGCATATCATGTCCATGATATCGACCAATAAAGTTGTGTAATATTGCACATATAATAACCAAATCAACTTGAACAATCAGAGGAAATTGTCTCATGTGTGTCAACACTTAAAATCATTCCTTCCAAATTCCAAAAGTCCTATCTACCACATTGTGTAATTGGGCATGTTGGTGATTAAATAACTCTTTTAGAATTGCATATCTTCTAGATGTACTTCCATAATAGTCAGCCAAGCAATATTAATATCCTCAAAATTGTGAAATCAACTTATTAGTGTTTATATAATTATAATCAACTAAGTAATAATGATTACAGGGCACTCCAAACTGACCTTACTCCATAGCCCATCTAAGCACATGCATATCCACAGTAGAAACTTCCCACCCAGAGGTTACATACACAAACTGTCGAACAAATGAAACTGCAACCATTACTTTCTGTGAACTAAAGCCCTTACGGTTAGGATAACGATTATGTAAGTTGTCATAAACTACCACATGGATATGTGTGTCGTCAGTTTCACCAACTGCAATCATGAAGTAAGGGTAAAACAACGCATTTGAATGTACAAATGGATAACATTATGCATATATCTCGGGTAAACTAATGAATTCATCTACAAAGGAAACAATAACACGAATGCTAATTGTTCCCGATGAATGCTGGAAGAATCACACAACTGTCGGTAACTTTGACCATGTGCCACTCCTTGCAAAAAGATACCTAGTTACTCTATTGCGAGCATATTTTTTGTACCACTCAAATACCTACGACTGACTAGTAGGTCCCTCAAACTTTATGAAGGCATCTGAAGGTAACCTGAAGCCATTGGTATGCTCTTCCTGGATGGCCAGCAAGCACATCCAGTACATATCGATGTCTAGTGTATGTTTTATCAAACATTGGTCACCTATGGTAGTTCATCATCTAAAGAAGAATTTTCTTGTAGAATAAATGGAGTTATTTCTACAATGGCCTCATTAACTTTTAGTTGTAAGTTGACCATATCACATAACATATATGGGTATACCACATGCAAATAATTTTATAAAATTGCATAATTAAAGTAGTTGGAAAGGTATGTAACACATTAATTAGTGGAACAACTACATGAAATAAATTAGCATCTTACACATAATATGTGAAATAAATTTTACAACTTGCACGACACAAGTAGATGAAATGAAATTGCAACTTACTACATGAAAGAAATAAAATTGCAACATCCTCAACACACATACATAAAATTAAATTGCAACATCCACAACACACATACATAAAATAAACTTGCAACATCCACATCTCACTTACATGAAAGAAATAATAAGCAATGGAAAACCTACAACCAAACTTTTAAAGCGTAAAAATATGGGTGTGAGCTGACAATATATTATATCCATTATGTAAGTACATCCCTTCCGAAGTCATAAATATCACTTTGTTATCCTTATTTTCCCTAAGCCTGTCCTAAATAGTCAAGAAAGCTTGTGTTTTAAGGTTCTCTAGTTGGCCTAACTTGGGCAAATAGTCCATCATGGTGTATGGTTCACTATGCTGAATAGTCTCTTTAAAGATAATTGCATTTTTGTTCGACTCAACTAATAAATGATTCAAGTTATCTAATCCACTCTTCTTCTTAAGGCATCTAGTGGATCTGGTTTGTTCTTCGCTAGATTGCTTTGAATCTAACATAGTGTTGCAACTTAGATATCAAGATTAAGTTTTATATAATGTGATTTTTTATGATATCAAAATATTATTATTATGATTATTGTTTCTCCAAACATATATTGGATATATTTTCTTTTTGTTGTTTGTGTGTACTAATATTTTATGAGAAATCATGCTTCAGACTGTCAAAGACTTTAGGACAGAGTAGATTAGGGTTTTTATGTAAAGAAGTATATAAATTTTCTATTTTTCTTGAGTATGAGAGATTATGATTGTAATTGGGTAACCGTGTACACACACACTAGGGGAGTGAGTCAAAACTTTAAATTTTAAAACTAATCATACTAGACAATTTTTCATGACAATTCCACTAAAATGAAGTTAATTAAATCATGTCGGGTATTTTTTTTTATGTACGATAATGTTTCATAAAGATAACTCATAAAGTACGAAATGGGTGCATATCAGTTCATCCCAAACAAACTCATCCTTTTTTGAACTATTCATAATGTATGATGTTTGTTCGTATAGATGACTCATAGAGTATGAAATGGGTGCATACCAATTTGTCCCATATTAACTCATTATTTTTTGAACTTTTTGTACTGTATGAAGTGAAGTTCATATAGATGACTTCTAGAGTATGAAATGAGGTAATCCATGTTTGTACCAAACGAAGCATGATTTGTTTAAATTGTTCATACTATATGAAGTGGGGTTTGTACATATTGACCTCAATTTTCATTCGACTGCCCTCGAGGGCCTTTGATCGATTTAATTAAGCCCACCAAGTCCAATTCGAGCTTGAATCAACTCGTATTGAGCCGAATTAGACTCTACCATGTTTGATTAAGCCTGATTAGGGCTTATTAGTCAACCTTAGTCATATCGAGTTTGTTATGATTCGAGTCATCATTTTATTTAAATTTAATTGAACTAATTTGAGCAAATCAAATTGACCCAAATCAGATCTGATTTTGAGCTTGATTTTAATTCAATGTGCTTAATTTAATTCTTTTTTTTTTCCTTCTTATGAACTTAAATTTATTCCTAAATCAAGCAATCAAACTCATGACTAAGAGTCCTAATTTCCCTCCTAATTCACTCTTGATTGAATCATAGCCATCAATCGAAGGTATAGAGGTATATATAGGTCTATTTGGGTTTCTTTTGGAGTTTTTTTTGCAATTTCTCTCTTACTAGCCCCTCTAAGCCCGATTCCTTTGGTGAGAGAGCTCCCATATACCTAATCCACTTTCCCCAAGTCAAACTCGTCGTTAACACCTCGCTGGTGGCGAGATCTTTAACTAACCGACCCGAAGGACCTTCCAAAGCTTCTCCAACTCAATTCATAACTCGTTTGGATTTAGTTTCAATTAGAGAAATATATGAGAACAATCTACAAGCTCAATCACTTGAAGATCTAAAAGATCTAACGGTAAGAATTCCTAAAAAAACCTTAGATCTAAATCACTACACTTAGACCTATAATACTTTCTAATTAGCGGTTTTTTGAGCTTCTAAACACCACCCCATGCTTTCTGTTCATAATGTTAACCTAATTTTAAAATTTTATTAAATTTGGACGTCTTGAATAAGAGAACCAATACTTTTTTTTTTTCATTTTAAACAGGATTAAAAATAAATTTAAAATTATTTAAATATATATATAATATATCATTTTCGTTAGAATTTTACTCTCTTTATTTTAAAATTAAAATTATCCTTAAATATCTTATATATTTTACATTATTTAATTAAACCTATTTTAAGTACTTAATTAATATTTAAATTAATATTATATTAAACATTTTTATATAAAAAATTATTTTCCATTAATATGTTTTAAATAATTATTTGAAAAATATTAATTTAAAATTAAGTTTATACTTGCATTAAATTATTTTTAATTATTTTATTTTTAAAATTTATGTATTTAACATATGTGTATTTTAAATTAGTTTAAAAATTATTTATATTTTTAAATCTCTAATTTTGAGAGATTTACCCTTTAAAATTTTAAACATGGGTTGTACACTTGAATATCATTTATGGGGGGAGCATTAGTGGATGATTGAACTACGATCATCTACTAATTACATCGTTAAGCT